TTATCGAATAGTTTTTTAAATATTTAGTTTCGGTTGCCTTATAATAATAATTAAATAGATACAAATGTAATTATTGGATCATCCTGTTAAAAAGGAAATTTATAAGTTTTCTAGGAGAACGTTTACAAAAGGAAATCCTTTCTTGTCAATGTTTAATACTGTATATTATTTTANAATGTAATTTTCTTTTATTAAACTCGACGAAAAAGTTTAAAAAAAAGAAAACTATATTTAAAATATTACAGAAAGTAAAGCATTACTTAATTCTCTAAGAAAATAGTTTTATTATATGCTTATTTATTATCTAAGTATTTTATGAAAGAGATGAAAATAAGCAGTAGAAATTCTTAATCCCATAAGGTTAGTGGCCCAAAGCATGTCATTCAATTATATTTATCAAGGACGTCTATCCTCTAGAGAATCTGATGTAAACAACCAGAAGAGAACACGTGGTCCAATTGGTTACTGCAGCAACTAGTGAAAAGAAATGGCGAATGTTCCGTTGACTTTTTACCCTCCCTCTAAAGGAAAACAAGAATGAAGCAGCAAAAAAGAAAGAAAAAGCCAGAGAAAAATAGAGTTTTTATTATAATATTTTCAGTATGAAAAATCAACATTTGGATAGTTTAGTATAATCAATCAAATAAGAAGAAAAAAAAACCTCCTATCTTTTGTATTTGAGAATTGGGTTAAAAAGATATTATATATGTTTAAATTGTAAAAAATATACATTGATTTTCTTCGAACTATAAACTTAGATTAAATAATAAAGTTTGTCTTCCTTAATATATTTTTTTCTTATTGCTTTCTACTTTCAAGGTAAATATTTAGTTAGCAATATTACATTTTTAAATCTATTTTTATTAATGTGCCAATGCCGAGTAATCGAATCATATCGGATTTTTGGATCGTCCGGAACCCATTCGTTCTTATATAAAATGGGTATCTTAGCAGCAACGACTGGAAAATGATGCTCCTTACACCATTCTTCTTTCGGGTTAAATGAGTTTTTCTTAGCCATTATAGGAAATATTCAGGCTGGCTCTTTCTCTCCAACATCGTTTCACGACTCTCAGTTAATAAATGTTACCTCGGATCGTTACGATAGTCGTGAAAGCCAGCGCACTTCGCATGTCAGTAGTAAGTTTTTAAAAGATAATATTCAAATTTAAACAAATTTGAATTTATAACCTAAGATAATTCTCTGTTAAAGGTTATTATAACAAATTAAACCAATTGATTAGGCAAGTAATAATGAATATTACTGTAAATTCTAACGACGTTTATAATGAATTTGGTTTTAATGAGAATATATTTATTTTACATCTGTTTAATACAACTTAATCGATTAATAGTAACAATTGCAATAATTAATGATTATAAGAATAAATATTTTATTAATATCCCTCCGGTAATGAGATAAACGTCATTATCTACGACATCTTTGTCGACCAATCACAATAATGATTGGAAAAATTTAAATTTTTGACACCACGTTCATTTTCTCCATTTAATCCTAATTTATTATGAGATTACATTTACGTTTAATTTGTTACGTTATAAAAACGCAAAAAATATCATATTTCTATTTGATCAATGAGATTATATTTAGATATTGCTCATGATACTACGATAATCAATGGTAATACTTAATATTAGCTCATTATAGCTTCGTGGGAACCAATAAATTTGAATTATGGGGGGGGGACCTTCGAGGAAAATCTTCGGTTTGGAAAATCTTTAAATACAGTTTTATTAAAATATCTAATGGAAGATATTCTAACATAATAACTAGGATTATTTATATAATATATATTTTCTATATAAACTACAACTATCTGGAATCATGTAATACTAACATGAATCAAATTCTAATTTTAGATTTAACATTACACAATCATCGAATTGTTAATTTAGATTCGTTTCTAGATATAGGCCAATAAATCATTTTACACGAAGGTTTGCTTCATATTATGGGTGAGTTAATGAAGTTGTTCGAACAAAACTTTCTAACTTTAGATGATTTTTATACATTATTTTGAGATATTATTGTAATGAAAAAAAAATAATAATCAANATTTTATCATTAGATTAAGCATTTATCATATTATATGATAAATGCCTAGGTTAATGATAAAAAAAAATGAAACAAATGTCACATTTTTATTCATAATTATATATTTAACAATTACTTTTCTTTGTCATTATTTTTTCTCTTTCACTTTGTTAATTACCCTGAAACCTTGGGTGTAAGCCCCCTTCATATATAGGCTTATTTTTATTTTTATATTATATATAGGCTTTACTATAGGCTTCATATATAGGCTATCTTATTTTATTCTGGAGTTATTTCCTAAAACTGCTGCAGAGTATAGCCAGTTTTAGGAAATAACCCCAGAATAAAAATAAGAAAGAACAGCAATCAAGATTATTATTATTTATGTAAGTCTGTGCTATATAGTAATTGTTGTATCTTTACCATAATAAATTTTATAAATATAAAAGTTCTAGCCTTTTATGGGACGTTACCAAATTTTAGTGCATTTTTCTTTTATATTATAGTTACAGTATTTACCAGTAATCATGTTTTTCAGGTGTCAGTTGCCCTTGTGCATAGGCAGTGAGCTATATAGCCAAGGGGTTTCAGGATATTATTTAATATTTTATATCTTAAGTTAGAAAATCCAAACCAATAAACTAAATAAATAAAACACCTTTCATATTGTTCAAATTCAATATATTCAATATATTTTAATTGTTGTTCTTTAAAAGCTATAGCCCTGAAGACATTAACATTAAAATTAATGCAAATATTTCAATTTTAAACTTCCTTTACCCTAGTTTAACACCAGTAAAATGGATTATATAATACCAAATTACTCTTTAACTACATTAGAAACTGATTAAGTATAATCAAAATCAGATTAAAACAGCAACATTTTTATTAATTAGCTATGAATTAGTTATTTAGAAAGTAAGTGGATAAAACAAATGATAATGTTCATGAAAATTTTATAACCTTAACAAGGATATAATATTCAGAGAAACACACAAGAGAGGTTTTGGAGATTCTATAAGTTAAAAATGGTATTACTTGTCAGACTATAATTTTATGAATATTTGATTGAATGAATCTTTAATGAAAACAAATATTGATAGTTTATATAAATTTATCTATTACCATTATATATAATTCAAACATATTCTTCATGAAAATGCATTAGAGTGCACTTACATTCATATATTTATTTGCTGTAAGTAAACAAATAAACAAACAAAATAGATACTATATTGTTGGAATATAATTTCACAAAATATTCTATATCAATTACTTTATACATATTTAATTTTTATATCCTTTATTTCAATAGACTACTTTCTATGTTATATGCAAAAATATGAATAAATTTAAATGACGTCAATCAAGAGCGCCGTCGTGAGACTAATTTGCATATTTTTCTATATGATGATTTAATATTTTAACGAGATTTGCTTATTTTGCAGAACTAACACGTCAACATTAGGAAAACTGTTATCAATAAATTCAAATCAATTAAGAATTTTTTAAATAAAAATTGCTATATTACAGTATTAAAAATTTCATATATGGAACTTAAAAATGTATTTGTAAAGAAGTTAATGTAGATACAGAAATCTTCAAATAAAATTTTATACATTTAAGTAAAAATGTCTGGAGAATTATATCGAGTTATTCATTAAATTTGATGAGAAATGCTATTTATTTATAATATTTACTGTATGATTATTGGACAAAAATAAAAAAATAATTTGTATAATGATAAACAACAAAGTAATAAATTTTAAAAGTTTTAAGAGAAAATAATATATATAAATAATAAAGCTATTGCTTAACATTTTCTATTATTATTTTTTGGCAATAACAATAATAATCTTGTTTTATGACTCTNAAAAAAAAAAAAACTTAAAATTTATTCTTCTTTATTCATATTTAATGCCAACTTTCATTATAGATACAATATGGAAAAAAAATTTGAATTTCCATTCTTGGTTGAATATATTAACTTGTATACTTCACACACTGAGAATTACTTCTTACATTATCTATTCAATAGGCAGTGTGTATATTATTTGTGGAATCAGGAGAAAAAAAAATTAAACTTCAGATTTTTCTTTAGCAAAAGTAATAATTTAATCAAATTTGAAAAAAAAATTATTCAAATTCACCATTTACATTTTTTTAATGCATTCCACAATATTTTATACTCTATGAATAGAAAACTAAAGATAGAAAGAAATTAAATTTTATTTCTGAAGCTTATACACATAGAAAGAGCGAGAGAGAGAGAGCTTGGTAGTTGACAATTTTGCAAAAGATTAATTATAAATAATCAAAATGGAATTTCATGATAGCGTAGCAGGAAGCTCTGTAAATGACTTTAGCCTTTTGTTACAAATTTCCAAATGAACAATTTCTTTCTACACTGGCACAACAAAACGTGACTTTGGATAAAGAAACATCAAATCACAGTCCAATCATTCTTAGGTGGAACTGATCGTTGAAAAGTCAAATTCTGAATCATTTTAATTTAAAAGACATCTAAAAATGATCATTAATCAGAGATAAAGCTTGGCAACAATTGCATCCCTTCTGATTGTTCAATTTTAACTAATGGGATTTAAAATAAAAAATAAAAAAAAAATGTTTTGATGTATGTAATGAATGCATTCTGGCGTGACACTACAATAACAAAATTTAATTATTGTTCTTTTTTTTAAAGACTTAATTCGAATATTTAGGGCAGTATAACCCACTGTTTAAACACTTTTTAATTAAGTAAATTTTTAAATTAAACTCGAAAATAAAATATATTCACAAGGTTAAAAAAAAGAAAAAAAAAAGAAAAAGATTTGNATAAAAATTATACAAATATTTATTTATATTAATATGTTTTATTTTGAAAACTTGCTTACGCCAGATATTTGTTTATATACTTTTTTAGATAAATAAAATACAGTTCTTTTTTATAAATATATTTTATTAACAACATTTTTCTTACTTAACACAGTTGTAAACAACACAACAGATAATGGAATTCAATAATTACACACAGAAGAATATAAACACACAAAAATATTCTCAACAGGACTATCAAATATTTGAATTAAATTGTAAAAAAATGAATCAATTAAAAACATTTTATTAAAAAATTTGTACAAAAATACTTCGAATTTGATTTTTCAATAGAATTCATTATCATCTGCATTGGTGGAATGAGATTTCTGATTTTTCACTTGCTCCTGATTATTATATAATTCTACAATCTGCATAAAATATATATATATTTTATTAATTAAATACAATATCATTACATTGTTTTGAATAACACTGAAATAAAACTAATTAAAAGAAAATTGACTAATTAATTTTTTTTTCCTTTTCTTTAATTAAAGAAATTCCTAAACATTCACAATATAACACTGACAATCATCGGTTTGATTGCATTCTTTCCTATTTCTTTTTATATTCAAATAAGGAAGAAAAAAAAATTACTGCAGAATAACAAACAGATCATAAATATGCTAAAATATAAACAAAACTTACTTGATTAGCAGAAGTAGCTTCTTCAGGAGTTTTGTCTTCTCTTATCCTAAGAAATCTGGGGAATCTCAAAGAAATCCCTTTTTCTGGATCAAGCTATCAGAAAAATTATTATTATTAAATTTTCTTCTTTCATCAATATTTGAAAATTCTTATAACAAATTCATTAATAAATTTAAAAACTAGAGTTTTTGTTTATATAATTTATGAATGTTCCTTTTCATTGAGGAGTTTCTCATTTGTTTTTTTTTTTTTTTAAATACATTTCATCTAAGTTTTAAAAATAAATAAAAAGTGTACGTGTACAAGTGAATATGGCCGTGTTAGAAAAACAAACGTACAGTTCACATGTACCATATAAATTTCAACATATTTTCGGAGAAATAAATTCAAATTTATTTAATAGACAATCTACAAAAATAAAAATTCATTACTTTAGGATACACGATACTTTATAATGAATTGAGATCAAATAGACTATGATCTAGAATAAAATCCATCTATAATAAATTATTCTTTTCTGAAAATCTTTCTTTAACAAGACAATTTACTGTAATAAACAACAAATCATTTAGCAATGTCATTGAAAACATTACTTTGCTCATGAACAAATTAAATTATAAAAATTTAATATTTAAGATATATTTGCTTTTCTGTAATCCCGAAAAGTAATTTAATTTTGTATAAACTATCTAACTGTAATTTCCGCAAAATTATGTTGATAATCAATGATTGGTTATAAATAAAATTTAAACAGATTTCACTTAATATATTACTTTAATTATGTAATTTATGCTTAAAATATCTTAAATAATTAATTAACAATAAAGCACATTTTTAATATCTTCATTTATTATGTGTAATATAAGAAATGATAAAACTAACAAGTGAATAATTAAATTTATAAAATTTGTGGTTAATATGCATTTTTAATATAATGATAGCAATTTTAATTATATTTTCAAAGGGTAGCCAATTTTTAAATAAAATTTCATTTGAAATTAGAATAATAAATAATGAACAAAGAAAAATGTTTCTTTGAAAAACACATCAATATTTATACCATACTTAATTTCTATATGAAATAGTATTTTTGATTATTTTAAGCATTTTTAATGGCAATAATATTATACAAAAACTATAAAAATAAGTATTAAAATTCAGACAATATTCACTATTAAAAAAAAATAAATTTTATAATTTAGAGTTAGCATCTTAATTAAATATCATAGTTTAAAATTTCTCTGAAAATGCTTAATATAATGAGTATTATTTATAATAATAATAATTAAAAAGTATAATAAATAACAACAAAATGAAAGATGTGTCGTGTTAATGATATTCGTTTAAAATTTGATAAGCTCAAGTAACTGAAAATGTGATTACTTTTATGCATCTTTTTGGTTATTTTATATACATAATTCTTAATAACAAAAGACTTCATGTAAATTAATTCTTTTTAATTTTTAAAAATTAAATAAATAAATAGAACTTACAATTCCAACAGCAGCTTTATGAACAGGAGATTTAGATAAATCTGCACATTTGATTTCCCAAACTTGTACAGGTTCAAACCATTCATCCGGCTCAACACTGGAGTCATAGCGATAATATGATTTCGGATTTGATATGACGTGTTGTTTGAAGAAGGTATTGTGCAATTCTAATTCTTCTTCTGTAAAACCAGTTCCAATCTACAATTATAAAATTTATTCATTCATATAGTAGTTATTAATTCTAATGGGCGTTTACCATGATTAATTTATATAAAACTACAGGTTATTTTAATGATGAATACTTAATACTTTGAATACATTATTTAATATAGCTTACATTAAACTATAGCTATTACCTATAATATGTTTTATAAATATGATGATATTTTTTATTTAAAACAGTTAAATTAACTGCGTTAAATAAAATACCGAAATATATGATATCTAATCAAATTTTATTTCATAAATTTATAAATCATCACTTTATTCAAAACAGTTTTAATAATTAGGCAATGTATACACAGTTGACAAATTGTTGAAGGACTGTTTTTGTCATCACTCTGGCTAGCAATTGTACACACACAGAAGTTGCACAGTGTTTGTACAATTGTGTACATACACTGGTATATGCACACAGCTGTGTATGTGCACATGATCCAGATACACTGAATGTATTCAGGAAAACCAACATATGTTTGAGTAGTTTTGAATCAAGAACATCATAGAGGAAATTGCTATTTGTATTCACATAGATCATACAATCTCCTCTACAATGTTCTTGATGCAAAAGTATACAAAATAAGCTCCATTATGGGAACGAATAGAGTTGTAAACCATTTATATCAATACTGTAGGGCCAATGCTTAAAAAAAAATATATATATATAGCGGACTGATTGATGGTTGATTTATATAAAATATCTCTATTTCTACATCCTGTCTTATGATGGGCAACACTGGGAATAACAAGTCTGATGGCAAGATCCTCTCATATAATTTGGTGAGTGGTGACAGAATTTTTGCTGGTGTACATGGCCTTTCTGATTGTGCTAGGCCAGGGGTGGCCAACAGTTTTTGCCCATGGACCGAAAAGAAAACTTTTTTCACGGGCCGAACCAGAGGCTGCCCTAGGAAGATTTTGAGGTGGTGCAAGATCTCATTGTGGTGTCACCCCGTAGAGACTAAATTGTACAGAGAGACTACAGATACATTTTTCACATTATCATGATTTATGAATGCTCTATTCTGTACTTAAAAGATTTGTAATGGAGGGTTAACTCTAACTGGACAGCGAGTTGTTGATTTTTTTTTTTAGGCGTCAGAATTTTTCATCGAGCTATTCTCACCAAAATTGAAAGATTAATCGCAGGCCACATCCAGCCCGCAAGCCATATATTGGCCATGCCTGTGCTAGGCCAATTCCTAGTTTTAACACAAAAATGCCAGTGCATTGTTGCAATATTCTACAACTTCATAAATGTTGAAACACAGTTTTATTGTGTTGTCATCTGCATACACACCTGCAGTAGAACCTAATGAATATGTCATAATAATTAAAAAAAATGCTTAAAAAATTTGTTGACTGCAGACACAGATCCTTAAGAAATTAATTATTTCAATCCAGTGAATGCTCTCTATCCTCAGCAAGCTTGCCAAGTATCTGAGACCTTAGTGCTGCTAGGTTGGATCCCTTTCCTCTACTCTCTCGGTTTCCAGTCTTTTTAAAATTTTCTTTACAGGATCTTCCCACCAATCATGACTCTTCCTCAGGAAAAGTTTACAACTAGGTCCTCTTGCCTCAGATGTGGGTGAAGCTTACTTTTACATTTGTTGATCTCCGACCCATTTGTTTACTGCTTGATGTTTACCACCTCTACATAGTTTATGACCAGACCACCCTTGAGTCAATTTAGCGAGATTGAAGCTTCCTTTTGCCTCCCCTCCATTTCCAAACCTATCTTTACAAATCCCATTCCAAAGTAATCTTCCATTGTATCTTTTGAATTCAAATATATTGATATTGCTTAAATACTTAAAAAAAAAAAAAAAATCAGGGCACACAAAATTAATGACATCTTATTAAACAGAATTGGCAAAATAAGTAATTATAATATTTAAGTTTTATATTTGGAGATTTATTTTACAATATACAGTGATATAATATTCTGAAAAAATACTGAAAGGCAGATTAAATAAACTGATTATCACAATTTTGTTATTTTGTAAATAATTTCAAATAATATTCATTTTATGCATATTTTAATATTAGTTTTTCTCTGATATACGAGATTTAACTGTAAATAGCATATAGGGATGTAAATATGATATTATATAAATCACTGTGAAGTAAATATTATATATATATATATATATATAAAAACATTAGTTATTCAAACAATTAAGAAACAGAAACAACATGAATCTACTAATACTAACTGGATAATTGTTAATTATATTATATATACTATCAATCATGTGCTACATAACCTGTTTTTCAGGTGTTAAACTAGAACAGAAAGACAATAAGTTTAAAAATTTTTCTAATTTTAATGCAAATATCTTCAGGAATATAGTCATTAAAGAACATAAAAAGTACTTTATTAGATGGTGTAATATTTCAATTTTCTGTTATAAAATATTAAAGTAATTATTACTTAACATAATAAAAGAAAAATAATGCCAAAGAAAATTTTTAAACCAATAGAATTTTATCATTAGATTAAGCATTTATCATATTATATGATAAATGCCTAGGTTAATGATAAAAAAAAATGAAACAAATGTCACATTTTTATTCATAATTATATATTTAACAATTACTTTTCTTTGTCATTATTTTTTCTCTTTCACTTTGTTAATTACCCTGAAACCTTGGGTGTAAGCCCCCTTCATATATAGGCTTATTTTTATTTTTATATTATATATAGGCTTTACTATAGGCTTCATATATAGGCTATCTTATTTTATTCTGGAGTTATTTCCTAAAACTGCTGCAGAGTATAGCCAGTTTTAGGAAATAACCCCAGAATAAAAATAAGAAAGAACAGCAATCAAGATTATTATTATTTATGTAAGTCTGTGCTATATAGTAATTGTTGTATCTTTACCATAATAAATTTTATAAATATAAAAGTTCTAGCCTTTTATGGGACGTTACCAAATTTTAGTGCATTTTTCTTTTATATTATAGTTACAGTATTTACCAGTAATCATGTTTTTCAGGTGTCAGTTGCCCTTGTGCATAGGCAGTGAGCTATATAGCCAAGGGGTTTCAGGATATTATTTAATATTTTATATCTTAAGTTAGAAAATCCAAACCAATAAACTAAATAAATAAAACACCTTTCATATTGTTCAAATTCAATATATTCAATATATTTTAATTGTTGTTCTTTAAAAGCTATAGCCCTGAAGACATTAACATTAAAATTAATGCAAATATTTCAATTTTAAACTTCCTTTACCCTAGTTTAACACCAGTAAAATGGATTATATAATACCAAATTACTCTTTAACTACATTAGAAACTGATTAAGTATAATCAAAATCAGATTAAAACAGCAACATTTTTATTAATTAGCTATGAATTAGTTATTTAGAAAGTAAGTGGATAAAACAAATGATAATGTTCATGAAAATTTTATAACCTTAACAAGGATATAATATTCAGAGAAACACACAAGAGAGGTTTTGGAGATTCTATAAGTTAAAAATGGTATTACTTGTCAGACTATAATTTTATGAATATTTGATTGAATGAATCTTTAATGAAAACAAATATTGATAGTTTATATAAATTTATCTATTACCATTATATATAATTCAAACATATTCTTCATGAAAATGCATTAGAGTGCACTTACATTCATATATTTATTTGCTGTAAGTAAACAAATAAACAAACAAAATAGATACTATATTGTTGGAATATAATTTCACAAAATATTCTATATCAATTACTTTATACATATTTAATTTTTATATCCTTTATTTCAATAGACTACTTTCTATGTTATATGCAAAAATATGAATAAATTTAAATGACGTCAATCAAGAGCGCCGTCGTGAGACTAATTTGCATATTTTTCTATATGATGATTTAATATTTTAACGAGATTTGCTTATTTTGCAGAACTAACACGTCAACATTAGGAAAACTGTTATCAATAAATTCAAATCAATTAAGAATTTTTTAAATAAAAATTGCTATATTACAGTATTAAAAATTTCATATATGGAACTTAAAAATGTATTTGTAAAGAAGTTAATGTAGATACAGAAATCTTCAAATAAAATTTTATACATTTAAGTAAAAATGTCTGGAGAATTATATCGAGTTATTCATTAAATTTGATGAGAAATGCTATTTATTTATAATATTTACTGTATGATTATTGGACAAAAATAAAAAAATAATTTGTATAATGATAAACAACAAAGTAATAAATTTTAAAAGTTTTAAGAGAAAATAATATATATAAATAATAAAGCTATTGCTTAACATTTTCTATTATTATTTTTTGGCAATAACAATAATAATCTTGTTTTATGACTCTAGTCGAAACAGAAAAAAAATAATTTATGTTATACAAACAACTTATTTTTATTTATTTTATTTTTATTTTTCTTCTTAATGCCATTTTTATTAAATCAGAAAAATTATATAACATTTATTTTTTAATTAAATAAAATTAAATAAGATTAAAGGATCACTTAAGAATTTGTAGTAGAGATGATTTGGCAATTTTAAATGTAATTATCAATATAGTTAGTTTGATAAGGTACACTTATTAAATTTGAGTCTGTTTATGCCACAATTTAAGAGTATCAACTGAGATTAACAAGATCACTAATAAGGAAATTAAAATAATTCCTTTCTTTTTTCCTATTTCGAGGAAACTGCTAAATTAAATACAGGAAAATAAGTGGAAACCATTTTAAAAGTGAAAACAATTTTTTCATAAATTAGTAAAATAATTAACCAAAATATAAAATGATCTAACAAAATAACATTATATTTTTTTAATTTAATAAATCTAAAGATAAATAATGTTTGTTTTTGGCTTTAGTAACAAGTTTAATGTATTATTTTCTTAAAAAAATGGCAACATTATCAGTAGATACTAATGATGTGAAAGCATTATCAACTTATATTAAATTTTTCATACATTTTTACAATAGCAATTTTTAACGTTAAAA